CCACGATCTAATAGTAACAATACAAGGATATCACGATGTATCATCAATCCTACACCATGTGTACAGAGGATACTCATGATCTATGGTAACAGTACAAGGATATCACAATGTATCATCAGTCCTACACCATGTGTACAGAGGATACTCATGATCTATGGTAACAGTACAAGGATATCACAATGTATCATCAATCCTACACCATGTGTTCAGAGGATACTCACAATCTATGGTAACAATACAAGGATATCATAATGTATCATCAATCCTACACCATGTGTACAGAGGATACTCACGATCTGTGGTAACAATACAAGGATATCACGATGTATCATCAATCCTACACCATGTGCACAGAGGATACTCACAATCTGTGGTAACAATACAAGGATATCACAATGTATCATCAATCCTACACTGTGTGTACAGAGGATACTCACGATCTGTGGTAACAATACAAGGATATCACGATGTATCATCAATCCTACACCATGTGTACAGAGGATACCCACGATCTGTGGTAACAATACAAGGATATCACAATGTATCATCAATACAAGGATATCACAGTGTATCATCAGTTGTGCACCATTATAAATGAATGACCTTTTGTTATTTAGACATGTTAGAAATGAGTGACCTTTCTTGTTTAGATATGCTGTGATTAAGTGACCTTTTGTTGTTTAGACATGCTAGGAGTAAGTGACCTTTTGTTGTTTAGATATGCTAGAAATGAGTTACCTTTTGTTATTTAGATATGCTAGAAATGAGTTACCTTTTGTTATTTAGACATGCTAGAAATAAGTGACCTTTTGTTGTTTAGATATGCTAGAAACGAGTAACCTTTTGTTGTTTAGATATGCTAGAAATGAGTAACCTTTTGTTGTTTAGATATGCTAGAAATGAGTGACCTTTTGTTGTTTAGATATGCTAGAAACTAGTGACCTTTTGTTGTTTAGATATGCTAGAAATGAGTGACCTTTTGTTGTTTAGATATACTAGAAATAAGTGACCTCTTGTTGTTTAGATATGCTTACAATGTGACCATGAAGGAGGTCAACACACTGGTGATGAAAGCCATCTTAGAAATACCAAAACAGGGATCCCAGAAGCCTTTACAACCCCAGATGTATCTTGTTGCATTGAAGCCTTTACTCAGTCAGTTACTTCCATTGATCAAAAACTACATGAAGAGTAAAGAATCACAGTTGGACTGCTTGTCTGCTTTAGAAGTGAGTATAAATTTTGGTCACATCCTTCTCTAATAGTCTAGATAAGATTCTCTATCTTTTCCCTTCCTATTTACTTGTTTCAATTGACATCTAAAAGTAAGTGAATGACAGTACAGGTATCAAGTGTATGTAACATATAACCTAACTGGATGTATTATCTCCATGCCCTGCTTAGAATTCCTGTCTGTACAGAAAATCCAACAAATTTAAAAACTTTTAAAATATATGTACTTGTGTGTATGAAAGATATAAGTTGTTTTTAACATTTTGTGGACTTATTTTAAACGTAATACTTACTTTGCAGTGTAAATAAACTTTTTTGTTTTAGTTCTTGGATCATCACCCAAGAACAATGAATGCAGATTAAAAACAATTGAGCATGGTGTGCAAGGATAATCTCAACTCATTACTTTTGAAAAGATTAATTCACAACTGACTGCAGTAATTCTAACATATGGTAGTATTGTTTAGAGTCTAAGACTCACTGTTGAAATAATAGAAAATGCTTGACCTAGTTTTATAAGTAAATTCAGTAAAATCCTAAAACATTAAACCTGCCTTGTCTGAAGTGGTCAAGATATAGAACACGAGCTATTGTTTAATATACATTAGAAAACATTTCATTTGTGAAGTTCTTTTCACTTAATGAAAGTTTCATTATACAGTAAAGAATCTACTGTGTAAAAATAACTTTTTATTGCTGCTAGATAGTGACAAACACCTATTGACCAAAAACCAAATGTTACAAACTTAAGCCTAGAGGAAAGTTAAGCTAGACAGTAACAAACACCTGTTGGCTGAAAACAAAATGTTACAAACTTAGACCGAGAGGAAAGTTAAGCTAGACAGTGACAAACACCTATTGACTGAAAACAAGTTGCTACAAACTTAAGCCTAGAGGCTAGACAGTAACAAACACCTGATTGGCTGAAAACAAAATGTTACAAACTTAGACCTAGAGGAAAGTTAAGCTAGACAGTGACAAACACCTATTAACTGAAAACAAGTTGTTACTAACTTAACCCTAGAGGTAAGTTAAGCTAGACAGTGACAAACACCTATTGACTGAAAACAAGTTGCTACAAACTTAACCCTAGAGGAAAGTTAAGCTCCTACTGGTTACAATCTACATTTGAAAGTTGTTTTCTGAATCTTTTATAATAAATTGTAAAATTACATGAAAACATATGTATTTTTGTAGATTTCAGTTAATTAGTCACTTAGATGCATTTTACATTTTTAGAAAACTTATTGTGTAGGAGAAAGAAAAACAACATCAACATAGTTTAACTTTTGAAACCTAAGTGTGTTGATTCAATGTACCTGTTGTATGGTTTGTTAAACTGCATTGCAAAAACAAAACTACTGGATGAAATAGTTTAAAACTTCAGAATTACTTTCTACAAATTAAGTAGTAGAGAGTCCCAGAGAATTATAGTTCCTGGCCAGGAAGCATGTGAATGTGAAATCACAGTTGTGAATATATATAAATCTCTCATAAATTAAATATTAATTACATAGGCCTGCAGTAGTTCCTGTACTCTGAATCCGAAAGTGATACCCGTTTTTCTCCATCATGTACCGATTTTTCACAAAATGTCATAATGCAATACTATAATAAAGACCACAACATTTGGTTTTGAGACTAAAAGATGTAGAGTTCACAAAGAAAAATCAGGATGAATGAGCATGGACATTTGTTTGACTTCAATGTTCTTCCCTTTTCTTCACTTTGTTTGTATTTTTGTAAACAAAAATAATAATAAAAAATGTTCATTGCGGTAAACAAAATAATAATTTGATCTAAGTAAGAGTTTTTTCTTCTTCCTGATTTGTAAAAAATCCTTATGTGATAGAAAAAAATGAATATTATTTTAGAAATCTGAGTAGCTGAAGTTTAAAATTGCAGACCTGTATTATTTTACACCAAACAACAAATGTCTACAGCACTAATACATGTTGAATTTGCATGACTTATTTCAAGGCAACTGTACTCCCACTAGTTTGAAATCTGCTTAAAAAAACATCACGAAGATTGCTAAAGCTGTCATCCCCCATTTGTCAGTGACCAGTTTTTTACTGTTTTATTTTGATTTTTAGAAAAGAAATTCTGTGCTTCATTCTTACCTTAGTATTTTTTATTATGTATGAATAAGACTGTTTACTTGAGCAGGAGTTTGGAATCGTGAATGAAGAATTAGGAGTGATTATTATGAAAGTACTACACTTCTTGTATGAAAAAGATGTTTTGAGTGAGCCTGTAATACTGGAGTGGTATTCCAACCCCCCTGTGTTAGGAGATGTGGATCCTGCAGAACAGGATCTCTTAAGAAAAAGGTAATAACAAAGAATCAAACAAATGTAAAAGTAACAGTGAATGTATAACTGTACCTGTTAAA